CATCCCAAGTTCTAGCTCCTGTTCTTGTCAAACAGTCTCAGGTGACAAGAAGGCTGGGTTTGAACCAATGGAGAGTCTGAGTTTTCCTCCTTAGATGAGGGAATTGGTGACTTTGGATGCAAATGTGGAGGGCAAGTAGGCAGATTGCCATTTGTCACTCATAATCATTCTCTCTTTCTTCCATAAGAACAGAGTTACAACAGGACCATTGACTGCCTGGCCAGAGGTTATATTCCTCAGCCTCACTTGCAGCTAGCTCTGGTAATGTGACCAAATATTGGCCAATGGGATATGAACAGAAGTCCTCTGGGTCTTTCCATTAAAGAAGAAGGTGGCTGATTCTTCTGTCCATTTCTCCCATTTTCACTGGCTGGAAGCCAACGACAACCAGATCAGCATTTTTGTACCCAGAGATGTAAACCACATGTTAAGAAAGGCAGATTCTTCCTACCACTTCTGGACTGTTAAGCAAAAGAGAAATAAATAATTTGGTTTAAACCACTATGTTTTGGGATCTTTTTGTTACAATGACTTAGCCTGTACTCTAAATAACCCATTAGCTTTGAAGCTGTCAGAGCCCATAGGAAATTTTGAGGCTGCAACAATCATGGGGTCTAGCAGGAAGATCAGGACCACAGCAAGCTTGAAGGAGGGGAATCCTCACATTTCTTCTTACCTCTTTGGAGACTGTTTACTGTGAGTATATAACTTCTCTTTTGTCCTTCAAACAGAAAAGAAAGAAAATAAACCTTTAGAACTATAAACAAAGATTTACAAGCTTTATAGTTGAATAGCATTCAAGTATTTTATTTTTAGGTCTTCATTCCACTTTTGTGGGGCTCAGTCCCCAGCTACCAACCCATCTTGGTTGTCATCACATGAAAACAATAATGACCACAAAACAATCTACACTCACACAGTGCCAGTTATTTACACTGTGCTGTTACATATTCACATGAGGTCTTACTATTCACAACAAAGACAAAAGAAATACAAAGGCAAAGATATATTTATCATATATCAACAAAAAGAAATCAGGGGCCA